AATTTGAAAACTTTGAATTCGGAAATTTGAATATTTGAAAATGCCGCGGAATTTGGAATTTTCGAATTCGCAAATTTGGAAATTTGAATATTTGAAAGTTTGAATGTGAAAATTAAAATATTTGAACATTTGAATTTGGAAATTTAGAAATTTGAATTTAAGTTGCAGCAGCACCTATGCAACTGCGAATTTCTATTTATTAATACCGCACTGTCGCGGAGATACTAAACGGGTCTTATGAAACTCAACAATGAAATGGAAACGGGAGCGGAAAATCTGTTCGATTGCGGTCTGCCGTTCACCGCTGCCCGTGGAAGTGACTAAGGTGTAGCCGATGAACGAAAGCGTGACAATATGCAGAGAGTTTAAAGGAAAGACACCATGATTGTCCCGATCGATTCCCACAATGGCAACGATCTGTGACGCGATAATGGGAATACGAGCTCGCGGTTCCGATTTCCAACTACGAGCCAGCCTCTTTTTTCCGTCGCATTGCTAATAAGGTAAAAGAAAACAAGGTGTATACCCGTGTATCTCTGACTTCAATGTCTCTTTATTTCTAACGGTAGAAGAAAAACTAATCATTTCGCTTTAAAAACACAAATTACTATCTTCACAAAAAAATTCCACGAAGGTCGTTGATTTCAAGGTTATGCATAACCTTTCTATAACCTATACAAATTTTTTAATTTCATTCTTATTGTAGTTAATAATAAAATGAATTGCAAAACACAGTATAAGATAACCTATACATAACCCCAAATGTGAAAAATAAAAGATGCTATTAAAAGAAGTAACCTGGCAATCGATAATCGCATCCCACGCAATATAATGGGATTCAACGAGTTTTTAACGATAAAGTACGCAGTCGTATGTCGTTAGGTGGAATTTTAATTCGGGCCGATTACATCTGTGAGGAAGATCCTCGTTAAGAACAGTTACGAACGAGCCACATATACGGGCGTGCTTTACAAACAAATATCGTAAGACTTTATAGATCCTGGAAGTAATGGGATCGTCGTAGAAAACGCGTCTCGGGCCGCCTTTGACTCGCTTCTCGCAGTTAGCACAATAATAATTGCCCGATAATTGGCTCGAAGAATCTTGTATCGTTTAATGGTGTAGGAGAGAAAGAAACACGGAACGAAAAGAGCAAGGCGGTTATTCAACACCGATAAGTACGTATTCATTAAGACAGAGAGGGACTTTAATAGAATCGTGAACGTCTTTCGCGTTTTCCAAACCCCTTTAATTCTCTATGCCCATGCGACGACAGTTTTCTTTATCTCGTTTTTAAACGCCGCGATGCTGCCATCTGACGGCGGAAAATTCAAGCGTAATGAGAGAAAAAAAATTCTTGGCGCGTAAAATACTTCGATAGAAAAGAAACGAACTATCGTTGAGTGTAATTAGAGGATGATCGATTTCTGACGTTATGTTAATTTGAGAATGTAAAGTTAACGTTGAGAATATAAAGGTTCGGAAGATTTGAAAGTTTAACAGGTTTGGAAGAAGTATTACGGAATGCATTAACGTTTACGAGTTACAAAGTACCGAGACGTTTCGATATTGTCCAGATGAGAAAATATATTCACTCACCGCAATCCCGTAGTAAAAAGTTGAATGCGGTGTAGGACGACATGTCTGTTTACGCGTCGACTCGATCAAATTGAATTATCCACGACCCACGCACAACCACAAAAAAACGAAACCAATCTTCCCGGCTGACCACTACGATCTGCAACAAGTTGCAATTTGTAACGGTTTCGATTTCTGTCGTACGATTGATCGACTCGCATGCGCTTTCAGCCTGAGTTCAACTTCACACACTAAAGAAATTATTACGACTTTGTAACCATAAATTTACGAAAAATATTAAACTTTCACTTTAGGCGCACATCTGCTTCTCACTTCACGAAATAATTTTAATTTTACAATTTCAATTTTACAATCATAGCAATTAAGAATACCACACTGCACTTTACCCGCCAAAAAAATTACGTTCGAGAAACGATTAGTTTTAAGAATATTATAGGTATTTATTATAAGAAACAAAGACTCGGTTAATTAATGTTATAGCTGATTAATAAAACAATAAAATTTTAAAATTCACACGTAAAAATGTTAAAATTAAACTACACGAGCGCGGATTGGATGGTTAGCTACCTTTTAACGTTGGTAGAACTGAAAATTCTAAAACGCAATAACGTTGGTCAGCCTTCCGGTTTCTATCGCTCTTTCAGTACGGCAAGATGGCTGATCAGGTACGTTTTCGGTCTTCGTAGCATCAATATGTATAAATTTTTACATTTAACTCCGCCATGTGTAAAATATTATTATTCGTGCAATCAACTTTATCTTAATAGTTGATAAGTAGAAAGAAAATTAATCTATTCAAAAGATTGCAAGAACATTATGATTCGTAATGTGACCGCGACACGTGGTTAGGCTACACGAGTGCATTTAGTACTTCAATATATTGTCGTATAATGGACTGTGCAAAATATCTTTGTACTTTTAGACAGAGCGTGCGTTCCAGAAGCAACCCACGATCTTTCTTAATCGTAAGAAAGGTCTGGGCCCCAAAAGGAGGAAGCCTATGCGATATAGCCGTAATGTAGGTCTGGGTTTCAAAACGCCTCGTGAGGTGAGTGTCTTATTAATTCGAAAAGCAACGAAGTAATATAATATTTAGAAGAAGCGACGTAAATTTCCAATTAACATCCTTTTTTTAGGCTCTGGAGGGAACTTACATTGACAAGAAATGCCCGTTCACTGGTAACATTTCCATCAGAGGACGCATTCTTACGGGAGTAGTACAAAAGATGAAAATGCAAAGGACAATTGTAATTCGCAGGGATTATCTTCACTATATCAGAAAGTACAACCGTTTTGAAAAACGCCATCGTAACATGAGTGTCCACCTTAGTCCATGCTTCAGGTTGATACACATTTTTTTAAGATTTTCGGAAAATAACGCGATAACATGATGATATTGACGACGGTCTTCTGAAAATTTATTTGAAGTAGCTTATTCGTCCACTGAATAAAAATTTAATCTAACATTTACTGTAAACAAAAATATTTTTTGGTAGTTGATAGAGTTATTATTTATTACAGAGATGTCGAAATTGGTGATGTAGTAACAATTGGAGAATGCAGACCACTCAGCAAAACAGTCAGGTTTAATGTTCTGAAAGTTTCCAAAGGAACAGGATCAAAGAAAAGTTTCCAGAAATTCTAAGCTCATAAAAATGATAGTCTAAGGTCAGTAAGATATAAAATTTTTCGTACATTAATGAAAAAATTTAAATATAAAATGATGAACTTGTAAACAACGCGACGGTCTTCTGAATTAGAGTGAACGACATATTGTTTTCTGAACGTTTTTAACATATAACATTAACATGCTTTTGAAATAGGATCCTAGTACTTTACCTTTATTTTATGTCTTACAGGAAAAATTGGCGCTATTGCAAACAAGAAAGAAGAAACATAAATTACCATCTTGATTTGTATCTTACGACGTTACAAATTAATAAATAAAAACATTTCTACGAAAATTTGTTTTATTCAAATAACGTAATATTTTCCTTGGACAGTCCTGCTACAGATATATCGTTCAAGCGGCAAATAAAAATAAAAAAGGTTATAGAATGAGATACAAATTTGTGTTAAAAAATATATTTTTATAAAAGTCAACGAGAAAAACAGTCATTTTATCAAAAGCATATTTTACATGATTCCAAAGCTACTTAATAAAGACGCTTATTGTCACAAGAGAGCATTATGTACTGATCAAAAGTAAAACATTATTAATATAAAACATCTGATTTCATCATAAATATCTTATAATATCAATGTATTTTAAATTACGTCGACGCAAAAGAAAAGTAAAGGTGATGTACCATACAGATCTTTAAAACATTATTAGAACTTAAAAGTAGATATATCCATTTATGCTTTTATACAAGATCTTTACAAAAAGCTGAGTTGCCAATGAACGCGTCTTTGGCGACCCCTGTTTTTAGATATACAAAGTTCGGTAAAATCTACCGAAGAATAATATACAATACATGCAATAGCATGTATACTCGCAACTTTTACTACAGTACGGTATCAAATAGATATTTAATCACAAAGGCACTGTACATCGTGCTGTTTAATAATATCTCTTGATTTTCGTTTATTTGCAAAATTTACCCTTATTTTATTAAAAAGTGCATCTCATTTATTCTCTTTAAATGTAAGAAAATAGTATTTTTCAGTTATTCACTAGGTACCATTTTTATGCCAATAACAGCAATATAATGGCAAGCAGATGAAGATTCTAAATTTACCTTTTAATATAATCTCACTCATAAAATAACATAATCATATTGTTGTTGCAAACCTTGAAAATGCAACAACTTGTAATAACAGCAATATAATCTTTTGTTAAGAAAAAGCTAATGATTAGCAATTGAATGATTTTTAGAAGAAAATTCAGCAATGTAAAGTATATATATAATAGGACCTGCAAAACCTAATAATAAGGAAAATCCAAGGAGCTGAGTCCATGATAATCCACAGTCATCTCCAGAACATTTAAATGAATCTGTCAAATGAGAGTTGTTTGTTTTATTCTCTACTGAGGTAAGCAATTGATCACACTCTGAACTGGTAATTTCTAAAGAATTACTGTTGTTGTAAGATGACAAGGGTTCACAAACTGAATTTAATATAATTGTATTAATCTCAGCCTTTGGCAATTCAGTTGTAACTGGATTTTTCATCAGATCTAATAATGGGCCTTTCATCATTGCATTTTCTATTTCTTCACCAGTAGATATACTTACTTCACTTTGGCCTGCCTGTTTCACACTTTGATTCTGTTCTAATGTCTCAGTCAATATAGAAAATGGTTGAATAGGTACTTTAATAAAGCGTCTTGCATGTATTTCATTTTCTTTGTGAATCTTGTTTATCCTCTTCAATTCAGAGATCTACAAATATCACTTATCATTCAACTTTATTCCAATACAATCTTAGTTTGCTTTCTTCTTATATTATTACCGTGCATCTGTACCGCAATGCCAAAGCTTGCAATGTATCCTCTGATTTCAATAGAACATTTATCACTTCCACTTTACGTGGCAATGATGTAGATCTATTACGTTGTTGTAGAGGTATATTGTCTTCATCTCCACTGTTTTCATCATCAGAGTATAAAAAGACATAATGTGGGGAACCATCCCTCTGATTTCCACGTTGATAAACCATCTGTTCTATAGGAATTACCACACTTTATACACAAATATCAGTTTTGTAACAGACTAAAAAACTTCAAGAAGTGTTACACTACTTGGATCACTTTTCAAATATATAATTTAATGAAATTGCATTAAGAAGATAATACTACATATGTGATCTGTCAAATGCACGACCGTCAAGGTTGACAATTTACCTCAATTACTCGTTGAATGTAAATTTTGGTTATTATCTTTTATCGTTCGTCATACGTATCGTTCGAAAGGAAATGGCATGTCAAAATAAAACTGTTCTCTAAATCCTGCGTCGATCATGTACGAAACATAAATTTTGTCACAGTTCGTGCGAGTTATACACGTACATACAATAAAGATAGGTTAGGGTTGATATTACGCATTTCATGGAACGTAAAATTGTGTACTACGCGTTCACTAGACATTTACGTGCAGAATTTGCACGTTAATTGTTTTTCAAGATGATAAAGTACTTGGAAGAAGGTGAAAGATTAAAAGATAAGTCTAAATGTGCTCATTTGCGTGCGAGTTTAAAGATGTGTATGTTGGAAACGGATTGTTGTAAAATTGTGAGTGGTTAAAACATATTTTAACTTATATAATTACAGTATATCGTGAATTGTACGAATTCATAATGGATACAATGTAACTGTAGACATCAATTGTACAAATCAATTACACAGTGTGTTTGTTTCATTTCAGGAAAGGCGAACGCCCAGAGATTGTTTACTGAACAAAGATCCGTCTGTTCCTGACCAATGTTACGCATTGCGTCAATCGTTTTTCGAATGTAAACATTCAATTGTAAGTACAACAAAATACAAGTAAATAAAAGAAACTTAAGTGAAGAAATAAATTAGGTTAATGCACCTTGTTGTTCTAGATTGATGGAAGACGAAGATTCAGAGGACCCAGGGGTAATTAATGACATCTTATCAACCTTGTAAAGAAATAAAAGAAAAAAAGTGAATGACATAACACAGACTGTAAGAGGTAATATTAGAAGTGATTTATTATTATTCCGTTATTATTCGTTGTACATGATATAATAAATCCTATCATAATTGCGAAGTATCAATGTATTCGTACAATCTTGTTTTGCCTGACGAAAACAACACGCGGAATTCGCGAGTTGAAACTCGATTTCCTGGTACGATTGCAGTGTTACCCTGAAGAGGCGTTTACTCCTTCGCGGAGCAAAAAGTATTATTCTTGTAAACAAACTTGTGCAGGCAAAGAATCGTTATCTTAACGGCGTTTCTCCTCAATGGACAAAACCCAATCACACCTCACGTAATCGAGTCACGCAGTCACGCTATTTTTTTTTTTTTATTTTATTTTCGTTGGGGGGTCGCGCTCAATCGCATACGTATTTTTACGCGTGTATCGTTTCGTCGCGATACACGTGGGATCACAGTAAAATCGCGAGCCTTTTTTTTTTATTATTTATCTCGTTTGTTAATTTTGTTCGTTCGTCTTATACTTAAAGAGCATCTTGTTCCACATGTTTGTTTCAGCGAGTACGAAGGGACGTATTTTCATTTTTTTTAAAACAAGTATACGCCGTCGGATCCTTAAAAATCTACGTTTAACTGATCGCGCCTGCGCAATCGTCCTAGCTATTGTCTGTATGCAACAAGCGTATATTGACTATACGTTTTTATTTCGATTTTCTCGTGTGTTTTTTTTTTCTTTTTTGTACTACAATGCCGATTTTCACGCTACTCGTTCTCACCCTAAAATTTCTACGGGCACCTAAAGAAAGATCTGGTTTAAGCTTTCCCCGTGTCTCTCGACCAATCTATCTATTTCTCCCGCCATAAAAAACGCGGGAGACCTAACCTCCAACGTTGTCGACGAACAAAACACAAATTCGAAAGTGAAACAACGCTCGTGTTGTATCGATCACGTTATTTGCGTTTCAAAGTCATAGTTCGTTCGTTAATGCTGTCATTTACGATCAAAACCCGCGAGTATCGATAATCCAGGCAAGGATATGTAATATCAAACGTGTGAATGCAATTAATAAAAGATCTGGAGATTATGTTTACAGAGTGTCCCTCGACTTGAAGTGCCTCTACCATGTCAAGGTATCTGCTTTTTACTCGCCTAACTGATCTCGCAAAGTGTGTGTGTGTGTGTGTGTACGTGTTTGTGTAACATTTTCAACGAATATTTCCTTTTCCGTTTATCCAAGAAATTCTCGCGACACCCTCTCGTTGTGTTCGTTGTGATATATGCGGTAATCGATCGAATATCACAGTTTCTCGAGTATAATGATATGTAGTTAGCGATTTAATCGATAGTCGTCGATAATATAGTAATAAAAGTGTCTCGCAAATCTCTATGTATGTACATGCAAGATGCGCCTCGAGGTTATTGAGCGACGCGTACGCTCGCATAAAACGCTGGATGAAATATGTAAAGTCGAAAAATACAAACTGGCCAGAGGCGTAGCTAGACCGGGTGTGCAGCCCGAAGCGTACAGATTTTTCATCGAGATTTCCCTAAAGCGTATACGAACGTGCCTCCCTTTCAACTTTTCTTTCGTCTTTTCGCCATACTTTTTTCCCCTGTCTCGTCGTGACCAGAGAAAGAGAGAGTGAGAGTGAGATAAAGGTAGAGAAAGAGAGAGAGAGAGAGAGAGATCACGACCGAAAGGTCTCCAATTTATCCTGTGGACTGTGGCTATTGAACTCTGGCGTTAGGAAGGAGGGGGGGCAGAGTTGGGGCTCGTTTCACGAAATTGCGAGATTCGTAATAACGTCGGCAGTACGGCTCGATAAAAGTGGCGAGTGGCGGCGCGTTACACGGCCACGTGAAACTCGTTACACCGCGATGGCGCGATATAGAAAATAAGTGACTTTATAAAACCGGGCAGAATTCGTGAAACGATCAAAGTGTGTATGTATGTATAGTACGTAGAGCTGGATCTACCAATATTACAGGAGGCTGGTTTTTACGACATAACCACGAAACGAGCCCTGAAAAATCTTTTTCCCCTTTTATCCGCTGATTACCACTGTATTGTAACAATAAACGTTCTTCGTTTACCGTGTTTATCCGCCGATCGAAAATGTTTTCCCCTCTCGCTATTCTCGAGACTAGAGAGATCCTTATCGACTATAGAATATTGCGTTCGCCGAGTGGGATAACAACGCTAAACCACGCAACACCACGAGCTTAGTTGTTGACGCGTGCAACGCGAACGAACCGCGACAGGCGTACCAGCCTGGCACCGATGATTCTCGTTCCCTGCTAGTGGATGGTTCACAGAGTGGACCTTTCCCCGCGTTGCACCGTGGCGTCCTTCTCGCGTGGTCAGCGTTTCCGAAGGAATCAGAAACACACAGATGGTCGATAGAGACCCGTGTAACCGCACAAACGGGCACGCAACGCCGGCAACAGGATCGCCGCCGCGGAGAGATTGTCTTGCAGCTGCGAGCACTCGCAGATCAGGAGGTACATCTTGTCACCCTGCGACATGGACTTGTGCAGCGTGATCCGCCTCAGGCCTACCGATTTCGGCAAGTATCGGTATATCATGCGGGCACCTGGGGCAAATTCAGTTTTTCACCTTGAGTTTTCTTGAAGAACTCGACTGTTCTTTACTACTAGAGGAATACTGTAAGAGGAAGGGAGATGAAGGAACAGTCATAGATCATCGTAGGTTAACTAGCACGACGATTTATCCTGGTACGAAAATAGAAAGTGGTAAATGCTTTGTTAGATGTTTATGAAAACATCACTGTCTCATAGCTGAGGCTTTCCTGGTTAAAACGAGCCCAAACATGACCACATTCGGATGATTTTCACTACTCTGTGTGAGCTGGGTTAAAAATTAAAGCGCACCCGGTATAATACTTTTAGTTAAATATAGTCGGAATTGGGTCGTGTTTGACCTCCTTTTCATCAGGAAAAGCTCACCTATTCGTTGCTAATATTTTCGTCGACCTATAACGAAAAACGAAAACAAAATGGCGTCACTAATGGAGGAGAGTTTAAATAAAATGTAACTCTATAAGAATAGAACATAGTACCAGTCCAGTAGAGCCAGTTCTGTTCGAACTTGAGGCCGTCGTCGCCCTCGAACACCTTAAAAATCGAGACGATGTAGCCGGTGGACGGAATCGGTGGTCTGACACCAGGTGGTTCCAGAGGTGGCCTCGCTATAGTGGCCACCTCATTGAACAAATCCAACGTATGACTGGCCGCGTACCGTAGATCCCTAGGATCAAACTTCCTCAGGGCAGCGCATTGAACCTCGTTGTAGAAATCCACAGGATCTGTCTTCTGCTTGTTTATCAGGTAATACGTGATGAAAGGAAAATCCGCTGAAATAACAATCGTCGAATTACAATCGTGAAATGTTCCAAGGATCATCTACAATATATACACATCGTTTTTATCGTACAATTACCATTTTTCTCCATATTCGTGAGTAGAATGCTCTGAGAAGCAGACGGTGCTATTTCAGCGACCAATTCAGCCGCGGTGTCCCGTTGTAGGATCAACGGCCGGGAGACCGGAGACTCCATCAAAGGATCCAGCGGCTCCAGTGGCGTCATGAAATGCGCGAGAACACATTGCTTCGGGTCCTCAACCTCGAGGACCGACAGAGGACTTCCTGGCCTCTTTTTGTCCGCGATCGGCGCGTGCTGGAACGAGTCGGAATAAAGCTGTGGTTGGGAAAAAGAACGATTAATCACTTGTTCAATTTCTCTCTGTATTCTACTTGGTATCACTATCCACGATGCATCAATCGAAAAGGTTATTCTGTTAATCATTCAAGTAGTAGGACATTTTAGTGCAGTTAATCACAAATATTCCTCTTGTTTACTCCGTATTTTTAGCGTTACTATTTTCAACACAATTTACTGTTCACAAATATCTGCAAACTTTTCTCCAGAAAAATTCATAAGAATTCACGAGCAGTGGCGTGTAACCGTGAGAAGTTAGCAGCCTCGAAAAATAGGTAGAACACGAACGAAAGAGAAGATCCACGCATAAATTAGTATGGATAATGTGGTAAACGCATTTACGCTACTCTAATACGTCATTCATCAGACTTTTGTTGTACTCCGCCCCGATGGCTACCGCTTTTGTCTATTTTTACGCGGTTGAGGCCGGGCCAGCAAGGTCGTAGCTGCTCACTCTGCCTCTAAGGCCAATAACTCGAGCATTCTGGTTTTAGCAGGTGCATTCCTGATTAGCGTAGTTTCGTGCAGAACACCTCTCGTATGATTTATTACCGTTCTACTCGATGAGAAATATGATTATCGATACACGGGGGAAGGGAGTTGTATTCACGTGCACAGGATCCACCATTCTCGATGGCGTCGTTTCGAGAGATTTCACTCGACGGAGAAACGAATAGGCACATACACCGGGAACCGTGCTTTCAGGGAGCTTTCGTTGATCGATCATTGCGCGGCATGCAAGGTTATGACGTTCTATGGGCGTATTGCAAAATGTGTTCTGGGTTACGAAGGGTAAAATTAGGATGTGTTGGAGTGCATCGAGGCATTCAATAGCTGGAAATCCTAGAAGTTTCTGTTAGCGTTTTTGGTCATTGTTGATGTTACGATTATGCAGAAGTTGGAGAAATAGTCGGTGTAAGAAAAATTTGAGAAAAACGTGGAATTTGAGTGATCCGAGAGGTGCTGTTTATTTAATTTACTATAGTGGGTGAACAAATTATGATCACTTATTTGAAAACGCATGGAAAGTATATGTAATAATAATAAAAAGTATTGTCACATTTTTGATAATATGCACCAAGGATTTTGAAGCTTCAACAAATTATTTAATATATTTTTTAATATTTCGTCATGTCACCCTTCGCATCTAGAATTGCTTGAATAAATCTCGGTATATTTTCAATATTTTCTCTACAGTTCTCTTTTATTCCTACGTCACGAACAATTCCCATAGGTTTTCTATTAAATTCATATCCGGTCGAGTTGCCAGGCCATTTAAATTTCCGAAAACTTCAATTTCTTTAAGTCAAAATCTAATCAAATCGTCTATCTATGCGTTAATAACAAAAAAGGATACATTTTACCACCCTTGATATCACAACACTACAGAAAACACAAAATACCAAATTTTTTCATTCGATCGTAACAATTTGATCACCCAGTGTATATCAAGCGTTCAAAGCCATGCAAAAATAATCTGTGAAACTCTACAACTGCTTGTTAGCAAATTTTCACAAATTATCACGCTTCTTCGTTATCCAAAAAACAATAATTCTTTCACGAAGAATGCGAGACGAACGGTAGAAATGGAAGGCTAGGTGATTCTAAAGGCGCTATTTACTACACGAAGCGTTTGAGAAAGTAATGCAAAAATCGTGTGGTGCATTGAGTTCGATAAAAATTTCTGGCACGTACCGGTACTCCCGCAGGTAAAAAGCGTTCAAGAGATGCGAGGGGAATGATGAAACAGTCGCGGTCCAAGGTGGCCAGGGAGATTGGTTCGCCACGCGGAGGGCTGTTTCCGGAAACCACCAGGGGCGTGTACGCGCCGGATGTCCGGTTCCCACTGAAGGAAACCTACGAACGACGGCATACAATTCGGGATAATTAACTTCTGGTGACCTGGCTATTGCGTACACTCCAACGAATTAGAAACCTTCTGTCCACCCAAAAAGTTCACCTAAACTGTGTCCACCGAGTTTGTATTACGAGGCTTCCTGTTTCGAAGCTTACACAGCTTCGAAAAGAGAATACTTCAGAGTGTCGTTCTTTTTTCCTCGAGATTATATTCCTTGGAATTGCAAGGTAGTTAATATTTTGTGCAAGTAAAAGTTTTTGCCGGAATTGTGAATTTTTATTTCACTTTTAAAAAAAAGATTCATTCTTTAAATAACATCTTTACTTTTTTACGCGTTTCCAATCGAACGTGTTACTCTCCAGAGAGAGATATAAAAATTGCAGAGTAAGTAGAGTGAATAAAAAATGGAATAAAAGTGGAGTGAATAAAATGAAATTAGAGAACGAAGTGAAGTTCGTTTACTTAACGGTGCAGTAAAATAAAATGTTTCTGAATTAAATGTAACCGTGGACTGGTATTGTTTGATACGAAGGATTCATTGGAAAATTGTGGATTTATTTAATCTGATCTACTATTTTTCAATCTTCCTAAAACTGGAAGACGAACGTAACAAAGTTACACTACATAGTTACGTCTGATAACTATACAACTACTTCACATGTTCCGCCCAAAATTGAACGATTTACCAAAAATATTTCACGCCCAAGATGCTTAAAACAAATTAGTCCAACTTTTCAGATTAACTTTTTTAATTAACCTCAACTTTGTCGCAACTCATCTGACTAGTTTTCCTTAAATTAAAAAAAAAAAAAGAAAGCGAAATGCTACGTGTGTCGAGAATCTTCTCCCGTTCGTCTCGAATTTTCACCCGCGACGAAAAGTTCCAGCGACAGAGATCCGTCACGCGTCAGTATCGCGATTCCTCCTCCACTTCTGAGATCCATTCGTCGAAGGAAAAGGCGGGATCGTAAATAGCGCGGCGCGGCGGTTCGACGATCGTATTTACCCGTGTTTCCGCGTCGAGCACCGCGCGTCTGTTGCATTTTTAACGGGCCGCGTATCCGCGTGAACGAACGACACCCTCGAGTAACAAGTGAATGTTAAAGTCGTCGTCGTCGCCGCGATCTAGGTTAACGCTTCTCTCCTTTCGTTCTTCCCTCCGTTTCCGTTTCGCGCCAGGGCTATTCGACGCGTGGAGTCGCGTCGCGCCGTGATTTATGAGGACGCGCCAGCTCAGCTAACCGCTCTCGACATTTTCGACGGCGGCGCGACATTTTCGACATCAACGAGGAGAACAGTTTTGGACAGGGTGTTAAGGATAATCGAGCGGAGGATAGGTGAGTTTAAAGGGACGAGTCACACATCGGGTCGTTTCGGCGTGTACCATGTGTGAGAGTTGGACGTTGAAGGATTTGACAGTCTTTCAGTTTCCGGGGAATTTTCGGTGTTAGTTGAATTCATCTATCCTGAGAATTTCGGTGTCTTTCTGGGTCTATGGAGCTATTCGTTCGTGATCCTCTTGGACTGGGAGACGAATCTTGGCTATCTGTTGGGGTTGTAAGGGAAATTTGGATATTCCGAATATTAATATTGGGAATATTAATATTTGAATAATTTGAATGTTGGGAATATTAATATTCGAATAATTTGAATATTGGGAATATTAATATTCGAATAATTTGAATAGTGGGAATATTAATATTCGAATAATTTGAATAGTGGGAATATTAATATTCGAAATTTTTGAATATTTGGGATATTAATATTGGGAATATTAGTAATCGAATAATTTGAATATTGAGAATATTAATATTCGAATAATTTGAATAGTGGGAATATTAATATTCGAATAATTTGAATATTGGGAATATTAATATTTGAATAATTTGAATAGTGGGAATATTAATATTCGAATAATTTGAATAGTGGGAATATTAATATTCGAATAATTTGAATATTGGGAATATTAATATTTGAATAATTTGAATAGTGGGAATATTAATATTCGAATAATTTGAATAGTGGGAATATTAATATTCGAATAATTTGAATATTGGGAATATTAATACTCGGAACATTAATAATCGAATAATTTGAATAGTGGGAATATTAATATTCGAAATTTTTGAATATTTGGGATATTAATATTGAGAATATTAATAATCGAATAATTTGAATATTGGGAATATTAATATTCGAATAATTTGAATAGTGGGAATATTAATATTCGAATAATTTGAATATTCAGAATGTGAATATTGGGAATATTAATAATCGAATAATTTGAATATTGAGAATATTAATATTCCAATATCAGTTCTAGTATTCTCGAAAACTAAGCCTCTTCAAAACTTCATTCTCCTTTTCCAACTTCTTTTTTCACGAGGAATCATTTCATTTTCTCACTTTTTTCCTTACTCTACCACTATCACAGAGACACCCTGTAGAATACTCTAGACTACAGCCATTCCAAATGATCAATGGTGTTCCATAAAACAGAGTATTGACAATAAGTATTTCTCAAGGTCCAAGGAACATTTCATTCATAAATAATTACGCAAAAATACAGTCCACGTATCCCCTGTACAAATGTTACATATTTAATAAGGACTGATCATTTTTCCTTCCTTTTCTCTGTTGACCAAATGATAACACTGCTACAACAAACGACGATGCATCATGTCACGATGCAAATTACGCTGCAACCTGCCGTCCACGCTGCTCCCTGGCACAGTTGGCGCATTGGTAATTGAAATTATTTCGCAACAATGAGCCACGGAACGGTAGCACAGGATGTATAATTAAAGTTCAAGATCGAGGCCGGTCTATTGATCGAGGCACGCGAAGTCTACAAATTTTCTTCCGCTCCGCCGGTGAGAGCAGTAGACAAGAAGGTAAATCGTGGTTTTTTCGGGGATTCCCACTGTTCCCACTGATTCACCGGGATTTCTCGTTCGAGAGTCGAGTTCACACGCGAAATTGATTTCAACGTAGTACCAACCCTTCCTACCTACTGATCATCGTTAAAGATTTACAGACTGCACGGAGAATTTTTTTATTATCCTCACTTTCCACCAAATTAAACGTTAGAAATATTTTTATTCTCGCGTTACGACGTAGTTTGAGAGAAAAAGTGATCGTTATGTGTATACTTAGCGAAATAGTTCATTATTGAACGCTGGTGTACGAAATTTTCGAATGTTTAAGGTGCAGAGTATGAAAATTAAGACACACTGTCGTTCGTGACTAATGGGACACCCCTTGTATTCGATAAATTTTCAAACTCGATTTTCTAGAGAACGAGGCTTCCAATGAAAAAATAGTATTCTTTACTTTCGGCTTGTTTTTATATGTAAAATCGATCCCAGTAAAAAAATTAATTAAGAAATTATTAAAATTGTTAACTTTCTTTATACAAATTTTTGTGTAATATGCAATGCACAGTGATCCCGAACTCTTGACCTGTACTGCAGGTGTACTCGTAATATTATTACGAGATTCCAAGTTGAATCATTCTTTTTTAATTAAAAAATTTTTTAATAACTAAGTATACCTCACGTTCAGCGTTGCCTAATTTTCAGTCGACGACATATTAAAATATTCTTAAAAATTGAAGAAATTAAAAACAGAAAAT